GATGAATACTTTGGTAGTATATGTGCTTCAGGAATACAAAAGCATCTAAGTCTTATATTTATGTGCAGTTCAGTTTTATTTACGTTTTAACATTTTTATTAAACTTTTGTTCAAATAAAATTTAAATAATATTTAAAATTTTCAAAACACTTTTTTATAAACAAATTTTGGAAAAGGTTAAGTAAATTATTTTTATCTTTTAAATATCGCAATCACTCAGAATATCAGAAGTTCGCTGAAATTCGCAACTAACAGCGATATCATTGATAGCACTTATTAATTAATATTAAAAATTTCACTCTAACAATACATAATTTATTCTTGAAAGTTTTTGATTTGATTTGATAACAGCTATTTTTCGCCTGAAAATAATACAGAATATTTAGTATGTTACAGTGAACGATGAAATATTCAGTGAAGCCATAACGAAAGATAGTTTAGAAAGAATAGAAGAAATAATTCCAGTAAGTGTGTATATATTTGTGATATTATCATTTTTGATTTCTCTTTTTAAATTATTCACATATATTTTTTAAGAGAAAACGTTAAAAAGAGAAAGTATTTTTTTGCCTATTTATTGGAAATAAAAAAAGCAAATTAAGATAACAAATATATTAATCTGTTGCTAAAAATTACAGTATGCTAATATGGTCACACTATAAGTATTATTCATTTGGTTTAATTGTTTACTTGGTAATAAACTGCAGAAAAAACCGTCAAGTAAGAGTGAGGTATCTGTAATTCATGACGGAGAGCATAGGTTTCACGTCAAAGACGATCCTCTTGAGAGGAATGAAGACAGAATCAAAACTATGTTTCCATTTGCAGAAGAAGAAGATGGTAAGAAATGGCGGATTTATATTATCTACAAATGCTGCGAACATTTATAAGAAATTGAAAATAAATACGTTTTTTTAGATGAGTTCATATTTGTATAATACTGAAAAACAGCGCACAATTTTTAATTCATACAGTTGTGATAACAAACAGTCAATTTTTTGAAAATAAATTGACTTTTATAAGAATCTTTATTTTAGTGTTTAGTTAAAATTTTTAGTGCTAGCAAATGTAGTACCAAATCATGCTCAAAAGGTTACAGGTTACCGGAACTTTGATTTCGAACAGAATATGGGACCAAATCCTATTCATTTTGGTGCTCCTTCTAAAAATACTTTTGACTTAATTGGGCTTTTGTATGATCTAATGTTGATGGGAAAGGTTGTGAATGGTAAGTAAGCGTTGATTTTGCTTGAATTATACTTTAATAAAATAATGACAAAATTACTCGCTTATGCGTAATAAAATTATTGTTCATATGAAGATGGGATTAAACTTCAGAGAACAAAGAGAAAGTTGTACTGTGCCTTCTGGCTAGTCTTATAACAGGTCTATCATTATTACTTCTCGCTTGCTTAGTACTGCAATGCTATAAACGATATAAAGGCAAAAAAGAGTCCGCAAAAAAAGCAAATAGTAAAGAAATATTACGAGAAGGAAAATCTACCGAATTAAGCACACTAATGATCAATGAACAATCAAGTTAGTTACTGTTACTATTATTCAGTACTGTACAGTAATAAATGCTTTCAATCAGCTGTGTAAGAAATGAGAGTAATTTTGAATTATCAGTTTCATTTTATCAGTGCATCGGATCAAGCACTGGGACTCAACTACTGCTCTTAAAGTAAATGGATTATTTCAATACATAAGTCATTTGGATTAAATCAAACTAAGAATATATTTCGATCAAAAGATTTTTTGATAAAATCATTTAAGATAACTTAGTTACAATCCATGCAGTATCAATTAATCAAAATCAAAGCTTATAATTTTCATTCGGTTAATAGCATTTTTATTATTTGACAATTTAAGGATACTAATTTTATTTAGTGTAAAACTACAAATTTCTGTATTTATTATTTATTTTCAAGTGTTTTTGGATTTTGGTAATGGAATTCCTTATGATATCACCGATCTTCCAAATAGCAAAGAAACATTTTTGCAATTCAGCAATCTGCCAATAACACGAGTACCACAAAATATCCACGGCTATAGTTGATACAATTTATTTATTAACTTGTATATTATTAATTTCCAATAATTCCTGCCACCTTTATGCACTGTATATTTTAAAAATTTTTAGTCTAAATTTACACACATGATTTGAAATAATTAATTTTATGAATGAGCAAATTTTCTGCTATTTTTTACATTTGTTCTTGATTGTAACTCAATCCTTGTTTTGAATGAATTTAGAAGGTATGAATCCACAATTGAATCATGCCAATAAGAATATCATCCATTGTATTATCTACATGCTTTGCTTGATTCTTTTATCTTATTTTTTCGAATAAAGAATCAGTGAAAAAATAACAATGTTATTCATGAACGAATTGCATGTATGTAAATTTTGTAGCATTTACCTTCCTATAGTTTCCGATTATTCCCTGAATAAAGATGCCTAACCATACATTTTTCTTTATTTTAATTCTGAAAATTGTGGAAGTATTCATAAACGACTAAATTTCAGTTCTCAAAAGGCCGTAAGTATTTTTGTGGAAGATGAAAATAAATGTATTGTAAGAACTTGGCTATCAATTGGCACTATTACACAAATTAACAAAGACTAAAATTTAAAGTTGACAAAATTTCTACTCTTACTCAATGCTTATTAATAAATAAATTGGTTAAAAATAAGCACTAAATTAGAGGTCAAACTCCTTTCCTAACTTTTTATTTCTCTTATTTTTATTTTGCATACAAATTTGCATATCGCACTTTCATTTCGATGATAAATTTGCATATCGTACCCTCTGTTGAAATTTCATATTTGCGCGCGAATATTGATCATACTAGAAAAACAAGAGTTTGAAAATAGTCGTGAAAGATTTCAATGATTCATTTTAATTGGTAGCATGACTAGTAAGTAACACGATAAATAATATGAATAAATTTTAAATATGTGTACTGATTTTTTTAGGTCAATTTCTTTGCTTAGCTAAAGAAGTTCAATATTTACTACTTTCTTTTCTACAGCTATATCCACCATCTATTTTGTTATATTTTCAGGGCTGTAATTGAATATATTAAATCGGCAAGTAGAAGTATGTCTTCGACTAGTGTTGAATATCCACCAGATTGTAAGCCAGTTAATGTGAATTGTTCTAATACAGAATTGTTGAAGCGTTTAAAGGTCTGCTTATCTTTATTAATGCAAATAATATGTTTTAATTAAACAGAAATACTCTTAGAAAATTATTTCACTAGAATTTGTCATCAGTTGGATTTTATCAAAGCTAGAAAAGATTTGGTTTTTGTTGCTGTCATCACTGTCATAAACAAGTGCAGAATTCAACCAGTCGCATTTATTGTTTTAGATTCTCAGTGAAGCTTTGAAAAATGAAATTGCTAATAAGGAGAATGGCATTCCAAATCGTTTCACGGATCTTATGCTTCATCTTACCAAATCACAGTTTATTAGCAACAAAAATAAGGATGTAAAACTGTTGTTAGGGTGCTGTATAGCAGACATTTTTCGTATGTTTGCTCCTAGTACACCGATTCAAGATTTGTCGAGACTTAAGGCATGTTACAATTACAAATTGCTTAACTTTTGTACTTCCAATATTAACTGAGAATTGCATTGATATTGAAAGTGGAGTTGCATTGAAAATTACTATGGTTATTACAAAATGGATTAGAATATAGTTAGATGTAAAGTATTACTTATCATCGAATCTTTTGGGAAGCAATGAAAATTGTAGTTTTATGAATCTCAAAAGCTGCAACTAAAAGCTGTTATGTTTCTTTTTTTAAATGTAAGTCGTCATATTTAATTAATTATCGCTAGTGGCTTAATTAGTATTAAAGATATACATTATGTCACAATATTCAGTAAAAAATTATACTTTATACTGATTCTTATCGTTTTGAAAATTATACATGATTTACAATTCAAATTCAAACGTAATTCAGGATGTATTATTATTATTTACAACAGTGATAGGAAACCCCCCAGATAAGAAAACTGCAATGTACCAGTGTTATTTGTATTTCATTGAGGCTAGTTTTTATTCTCTTTAATGTTTTCGTTTTAAAGTTTAGTTTATTTCTAATTTTAAACCCTCTTTACTTATAAGTAGTGTGTAGTATGGAGATTTTTTGTATTTCATTTCTGAAAATTAATCTCCAGTTTCAAAGTTATATATTTTCCTTGTCGCATAGATTTCAGTTAAATTTATTATGCTTAAATATAAAAATTTTTCAGAATTTATCGCGTGTAGAAACAATGCAGTTGGCCTTGAGATTAGATGATGATGCATATATAATTTTGCATAATTTAATTAAAAAGTCATTCAATAGCATGAATGAAAAAAATGCTGATGAACACATTCAAGGAATGATGGTAGGAATGTGCTCCAAGTTGATTCAGAAGGTGGATCAGATCTCAAATATCATCTTGGATGCAATTTTTTTCTTCATCGTACAACCTCAAAAGGTTTTTACAGTTTTTCATTCACCAATTCTTAATAGCCTGCATGATTTAAATCAGTGGTATACTCCAATTTTTTTCACAACAAATTTTTTTTTAATTGTTAGTTTTTTGCAGTTATGTAGTAAATTAGCTTTTATCCATAGTTTCTAATTTTTTGAATCTTTTATCACTTAATTTTAATTAAGAACCTGAAAAACAAGAAAAAATTTTAATTCATATGATTTAATGTATTGATTGTCTTTTTTGTGCAGCTTAAACATTCTTATTTTCCATCCTCATTACCATTTTTTGAGAATGACTACTTGAATCTTATTTACAAAATATTAAAATTAAATCCATTGTCGCTTATTTTCAGATTAATAATCGTGAATCTTATCGTATGGCTCGAGATTTAATACGAACAAACCAGATGACTTTAGAACCATATATCGCTGTGGTTTGTTCTTGTTTTGCCTTTTAGATAATAATTGAAAACTTTTCCAACATGAACATGAGCAAAATGCAAGAAATCATCCGACCTGCGTGGTTTTTTAATTATTTTTTGTCCTCCTAATAAGCAGCGTAAAATTTTTATCTCTTACATTGCATTTTCAGCTATTAAAACGAGGGCTAGAGACAGGTGTTTTGGATGACTGTGAACTAATATCGCGAAAAAAATTGTTCGATTTAATTTGCGAATTGGGCAGATTTGCTCCTGAAATAATTTCATCCGTGTTTCCATCGCTTATCAAACAGCTTCATGTAATTTTATATGGTTATGGTTATTGAACATTTTATAATAGACAAGATTTCTCGGCTTTATGAATATTATTTGGAAAAATATTCATCTTGAACTTTGTCTAGTGACTTAGAAGACAGCAGTGTTTAATGTGTTACCATGTTATCAAAATGGTACCCTTACAATGACTAAATTCTTTTTGTGGTTGCCAGTCTTTCAGTTTTTATTCTTTTAAGAAATGATGTTGCTGAATCTACATGTATATATGTCGAAATTGTGCATTTGATGAACCTTATCATCCTTTTGATCACGTCTTAAATTGTTTAGAGTGATGTTGTTACTGCACGCCGTGAAGCAGCTCGTTTATTTGGTAGCCTTTTTGGAGATCAGAATTCTCATTTGGCTGAAGATGAACCTGATGTTTGGGACAAATACATGAAACGGTTTGCAGATGTTGATACTGAAATTCGTCGTATATGCGTGAAAGATGCTGAAAATATTCTTGTTTTTCATCCCGGATTAAGGGGTGAAGTTACAGGTTCTTTTAATACACTTTGTAAAGTGCTTAATAAAGAAAGTTTATTGCAAACATTATTATTTTAATTTTTTTGTTGTGTGTGTTGTTTTTTGTATTGTGTTCTTACTTGAAAACTTTTGGTTTGCTTATTTAAGTTCCTCATTGTACTATTCGAATTTATGGTGAAGGGGAATTATAATGCACCATTTCTTAGATGCTGTTATATTGCGTTCTCAAGATGTTGATGAAAACGTGAGGCTAGAAGTTATCACTATGGTACAGAGACTCACAAAACGGAAATTTGAAGCAATAAGTGAAAGACTTCTCACGCATGTCATCGACAGAATACGAGACAAAAAGGCAAAAATTGTTCTGATTAACATGGTCAAGTATCATGAGCCCTTAATGTGTTTGTGATACCGATGGATATTTATGATTATATGTTCTTTGTTTAATTTATAGAGAAGAAAAAATGGTTTGAGTAGAAAGTGCGTGTAAATATTGAGTTTTTCATTGAATAAAATTTAAATTTAGTCGTCATAAGCTGAATTTTAGTAAAATGGAAGAAAAAAGAATTATAAGTGCTTCAAAAACATTAACTAGTGCTTGGCATTGGATGAAGTAGTATAAAATGTTTTTAATTCAGTTTTGTATATTAGAGCTTTCGCAAACAGTAAGCAGGATAAAAAAAATAGCAATAAAGTTTGAATGTTTAGATTAAAGTTCTTATTATTTAGATCAGAGTGCGACATACAGCAATACGCGGACTTTCCCAACTACATCGCACAGTTTTTACCGACGACTCATTGACAGTTCTAGAACGTTCCTCTGTTTCGAGCATATTTTCTTCCATCATGAATCATTACTTTCAGCCAATTCCAGGAGATAGGTATTGTTGTAACGATTACTGTGTTCTGAACTTATTTGTCTTTTTTGTTAAAAATTTAGAGATGGAACTTTACATCTTGAATGCATGATGAAATTAGATCTATCTGCCTTGCAAACAAATAGATAGTGTCAGTCTGATAAAAAATATAGGTTGTTTTAGATTTTTGACAGAGAAAATATTTGTTTCAAATTTGATCCCATACAAGATTAATGAGTCTACACGTATGGAAATATTGATAAATATTTTCCTGACAATGAACACATTTGGAATGAGGTAAGTTTGGTTAAATTTTCCAAGTTTTTTAGGTAGAGAATAGAAGAACTTATTTTTAAATTCGTTATCATCTATTGTTGATGATTGCAAAGTAATGAAACTTACAGTAATTTCTTCGTCAATTTTGTAGAGCACTGGAGCAAATCTTAGCAAAGCAGTCGTTTCAAAAACGACTTCTGCATGACCTTGTTGTATTGATTGATTTAAATGATAATGGTCAAAAAAGCGAAGCAATTGACGATATTGTGAAACGTATTGTTGAATGTAATCCTGATCCAGCAAAATTTTCACTTTCTTTTAGGTGATCACTTGAATATAAATTGTACTATGTAAATGAGTTTCGTCATTGTAAAAAATCATTTCATTCAACACTCTCGTCTTGTGAGTTTTTCAGACATTTTATGACAGCCTTGTCCAATGATAAGCAGATGATGTTATTCATGAAGTATATAACAGGAGATGATTATACTTGCAAAAAAGTTGAAGCAGCTGTTGTAAGTCAATATTTTCATGAATCGTGATTTTCTTTAAAACAGATATGAACTCGTCGACCAGTATTGTTCTAAATATTTTAGACTGAAACTTTTTAGCATTTTACATCATTAATAATAAAAAGATTATACGGTTAATGATAATATTAAACTTTTTGGTTGATTACTGCATCAATTCTTTCTATACTTCTGGTAGATTTTAAAAAATAAAAAATAATTTCACCATTTACATGAATTGTCGAAAATTTCTCATTTTTCATTGTACGGATTGAATGTGTTAAAAACTAGTGTATTTTATAAGTCGGCACTACTTCATTTATCTTCTGTTTATGTAAACCTGGTTATTTTTATGATACACGACAAAAAACGTTCCATATATTGAAAATCATTGATTTTAATGCTTCATAAATAGAATTATTGCAGTTCGAAATTTTGCAACGTTTACAAAAGCACAAGGTATCATCAGAATGTATCGATTCCATAAAATGTCTGTTTGAATGTTGTTCTCCACTTCAATTTGATCAGATTGCAGTATCATTTTTAATTCACAGAGTGGTTGCATTAATAAAAACTAGTGTTGACAGTAACGAGCTCAGCCAATACAGCAAATTGATTAAGCTTCTAAAGGTATTTCTCATCAGTTTAATCACTTCGAAAACATTATTTCAATTTTCTCATTTCGTGTTTCTCTGTTTTTGTTAATCGAGTTGCTGTCAGTTATCTAATCTTTTGTTTACAGATAGTTGCAGATGCATACGCACATTGTTTTGTTAACCAGTGTGCACTGGAAAACTTGGTGAAATTAATGGATATTGAGAATTTTCCTGGAAGTTTGTGATTTTTTGATTTGTTATAAGCAAAAATGAGCCGTTCCTCCATACCTACAGTTTAAATATCTTGATGCACAGTGAAATATAGTTTTCCAAAATACTATTTTTGTGCCGACTGATTATTTTTACTAGCTAAAGTTATTGAAAGGGGTTTAAAATGTAAATAATATCAAGAAAAGTGCAATAAATTAGAGGCAGAACAAAATAGGAAGATTAAACCTTTAAGTTTTGCAAATTCTCCTTTTTTGACTTGTTAATAAATTATTTGGCACTAGGTTTCTTGTTTTTAGTTGAAGATTTTCTTTCGCTGACGATAACAATCTCTGCTGAACTTAGGAAGAGTGAATTTTTGGATAAAAATATAGTAGCCACATTTGTGAAATATTGTGAAAGCATTGTTTTCGATTGTTCTCCTCGTGCTGCTAAATATGCTGTTCGCTGTATTTCAAAATTGTTGGATACTGAGCGAGCTCGAGTGATTCTGGGGAATATTTTTCAAGTTAAATTTTGATTGAACAAAAAATTATAGTGAATCGATTTTGCCCGACTGGGAAATTAATATTTGAATTTATATTTATTTATTTATTTTTTGCTTTCTTAGCTTTTTTAAATTTAGTGATATTAAAATTTAGAAAACTGTACTACGTGTTTCGACATCGAATCCAAATTGCTGTACGGCACTAGAGACACTGAATGCCTGCGTGGAAGTGAATCCTATGCAGTTCTGCAGCGAGCTTCATGAAATACTCAAAGTCTATCTCCCTTATTTCTTATTGGTGTATAGAAATCAACTTTTTTTGATTTCGACAGTGCTGAAGTTATAAAGTTGCGAAGTATACAAAGCTCAGGTGTACTGAGATAATTAATTCAAATTTCAGTCGAAAGTTATGGAAATTTTGTTTGATATAGAAGATTGTGGTAATGATATTGATCAAGACAGTTCAGAGCAATTGAATGATGAAGTAGCTCTGAATAACAATTATGTAAAAATCAAGGTTAGCATTATATTTTTAAGGAGCGAAATTTAATTAACACCATTCTGGCATCTTTTTCGTTTAAATAGAACGGTATACTACAGTGCAAATCACAAACAGGTTTGCAATATAAACACTGTAAAATTCAAATCCATGAATTTGGAGCATTTCAGAAACAATGCTTGAAATTTATTGCGAAGTTTTTGGTATCTGTAGCAAATTTTTCGACTTGCGATGTTGACCCAGCAGCTAAACATATTTTGCAGTTTTATTCTTCTTTGCTGAAGAATAAAGGAAATATTTTCAAAAAACAGTGTGGGTGCGTCACTCTTTTAATTTTTCTTTTTCCAAAATACTGAATTGTTCTCTCTAATTTCCATTACTCATATCAATGCGGGTTTTTTTTCCAGAAAAGAAAAGTAAGCAAATGTTACAATGATTTCTGTGTAGATCTTTGAGAACAGTTCAATATTTTTTAAAATCAATTATACATTTTTACCAGATGTTGGACCTTATTTATTTTAGTGTAGCAAATACTTAATTATTTTAGCCAAAATCATATGGCTGAGCTTCGTTTAGTTGCTGGAAATTCCATGTTGAAGCTTGCAACAAAACCACGCTATGCTAAATTTTTCAGCATCAGCGATTTTCTTTCATTATCTACACTTGCTTATGTACGTTGCAAACTCTGAATATTATAAGTTATTATAGGGTTTTGAACAATATACAATTTCGAATGCTTGATTTATTTTTAAAAAGTTTCAAAAGTTTATACATATCATGTAAAGTATGTTTTGACCACATTCATCATAACTGCTTAAAATTTTGAACAAATAAATTGTAGGACCAAGTATGCGAGATTCGGCGTCGATTTTTTGCTAAATTAAACAAACATTTGATCACTCTTCATTTGCATGTCGAATATATGGGATTGTTTGCGCTCGTTGGTTTGGATGATGATGAAGGTTTCAAAAATAAAATACGCGTTTTCATAAATGCTAATATTACTAAAAGACGCAAATATATGGAAAGATGGAGCACTGAAGGTTATGTTACTTCTGGTCGTTTGCAGGAATTCCATGAAATTTAGATCTAGAGTTACACTGTCCTTTTTTCCAGTTTTTTTGAAAATTTTTTGTAGGCGTTGCACTATGTTATCAACCGGAATATTGTCTTGCATATGCAGTTTACGTTCTTTCAAAGCTGCCGACATTTGAATCTATCGAATGTGAATCGGAACTTCGTCGACTCTCAAAGTACGCTCTATATTTTTAATTGATTAACATGTTTCTCTATTCGGACTTCGCATTCTCAATTCTGATTTGAAAACATTCACTTTCTAACTGATTTAATTACAGGTGTATCTGGTTTTTACTAGATGTTTTTAATACCCGAAAAGAACCGGGCAGCATGGAGTTCATTTATAATATATTCTTGGTTTGTATTTGCTAAACCTAATGATAAATTTTGTAATTGCTTGCTTTCTAACCTACGAATTGAAAATGCTTCAGTTGAAATATTTCAGACTATGAAAAATTGCACTGACGCAGAAGTGCAAAGTTGTCTAAAGAAGGAGTCGGGACAAAAAAATGAAGTTAGTAAAGTAAAAAATACATAACTACGGTTTAAAATTTGTTTTTACAGCTCGTCTTTTGAATTATTTAATTCAAACTTTCAGTATTAGTGCAAAAATTTTTTTTATTCAAATTTTTAAGAAAATATGGTCGCTCTGTGATCTTGGGATTTTGCTGATTTCATACCAAATGCAAATTTTAATTAAAGAAGTGGATTGCAAAATACAACTTAGTAAAAAGTTTTTTACAATCTTGAAAGGGGTGAGTGAATTTCTTAAAACTAAAATTTCGAATCTGAATTTTTCCTTCAATGTCATGAGTTTTGTATTTATAATTTACTGTTTTTTTTTTATTAACAAAGAATAACGTATGATGGAATAGTGATGACAGTTATTATTTGTGGAATAATGCGAAAATTCAGGATGTTGCGTGGTATTTCGACTTACATTTTTGATATTATTTACATTTTATTTTTTAGATCTGTAAATTGTTTTGCATCTTTGAAAAGCTCATTGTATCTTTTAGAGTAATAATGTTGTATACTTACCGTCATCAATTTTGGATGAATTTAAAGCGAAAAAAAAGAATTTAAAGCAGATTCAAGCTGAAGTAGAATGGAAAGGTACCAAGTTACCTGTTGATCATGAACACTGTGGGACGGGAAAAAGCATGGTCAAAGCTTTGTTTGGCAGTGAAAGGTTTATTGCATTTTATGGAACTGATTTCCGAAATTATTTGCTTTTCTCCAAAACAAATTACAGTTACTTCTCTATTTTTCCGATTCTTTGAAATAATTTAGTGAAAAATTATGCTCTAAAATATGCAGAACAATTTGTGAAGAGCGTGGTGGAAGACCTAGCTGTATTTCACAAGTGAACGATATAATACTGAAGGAAGAATCATGTAGCAGCAACCCCAAGCGTTCAAAACCTGGGACAAGACGAAGGAAAGCGCGAGTAAATATCGCTAGCAATATTTTGACTTACTGAGTTGCAGTATTGAATTTGAATTTCGTTTTTGGTTTTTATGTTGTTGCATGGAATCATTAATTATTTTCTTTTCGGAAATGATGAGTAGCTTAAGCGACGCAGTTTATTTGCATTTAAATTTGTGCAAATTTACTACAGTTTTGAATTTTTAAAGTTTCATTTAGGTTTCTGCGTGTAGGAATATAAAAGTCAGGAAAGAGACTAAAAAACGGTCTACTTTACGAAGAAGCTCGAATACAAAAACTGAACCTGAACCATCTAAACTGAATTTTGATAAAGAAAGTGCTGCAGAAATCCGTGACTCGCTGGAAAATTGTAAATGCTCTCCAATTCGTTCAAATTTTCTTCATCAGTCTCTGTTTTCGGTATTGTTCAGTTTTTAATGTTGTTAGATGAAATAGAAATTGTATTATGTCATCTAGCTTTTGGTTTAAACATCTGCAATACATATCAAAAAAGCTCTACTTACAAATTTTTTTAAAAATTTGAAAAATTTATCTTTTTTAGGAAGAAAGTCATATTCTATCTCGGCAGCAACCATTTTTGAGCTCAACGCCACTTTCCAAGGCTGAAAAAAGAGCTGCTGCCCAAGTTAATGAAAATAAAAATAATACATCTGAAGTAGAAAAAGGAAATGAGGTAGCACTCAGAGGAGAAAAAGGAATTGATTCAGCCAACAAAGCAAAAGTTGGTAAAATCAAAAGATGTGGTGTTCGCAAAACGAAAGTATCTAAACAAACTGCCAATTTAGGAATCGAACTGAAAACGGTTAATTTTGCTCGTAATTTTGTATTCCTGTGCCTTAACTTTGTTTTCGTCCATGAATCTTTTCATTCATATCTTTCTTTAAATCACACTATATATCAGGCATTGAAGAAGCAAAGTTACTATTTTTTGAAATTTTTACGTTTAAGTGCAAAATAATGATGCATATTTCATAGAGTGGCGTAGCAACACGACTTCGCTCGCGTCAGAAGTTGACTTTGTCTTCTGTACCGGTGGCTTTGAAATCTCGTAACAGATAGATTAGTTCCTGCCAAGACATGTATTGTTATGTAATATACATTATTACTTTTAAATTAGTCACTGCAATGGGCCATTAAATTGTGTTGCTGTGGAAAAATGTTATTCTTTATTCAGCGTCTGGCAAAATTATGCGCATAAAACTTGCACTTAATAAGTAATCATTTCATCTATCAAATTCATTGGTTTTTAGAATTTAAAGCAAGTTTTTCTAATCAGGCATACTCTATATTTTTGTCGTATGGAATTTTGAGCAAGAAACACTGATAGAAATTTCGCTGGCTATATGACTTTCTTTGATGATGATCATTTCGATTAACTGTCATCACTATGTCAATGATTCTAGTAGTAGTAGACATTTAGCTGTTAGCTTGAAAAATTTTTTTCGTTTAATAATGTATTATAATGACTATCTGGGGATTTTAATTAATAAATCTCGTCATTTTAGTCATAAGAAATCCATTGAACGTACGTCAGTACTGTCTGCATCTATGAATGCTTTGTGAATATTCGATTTCGTTGCATTGTTTAATTTGCTTCGCTCTACAATGATTTGAATTACTAATTTCAAGTATTAAACATCTGCTTTCTTTATTAATTACTTACCGTTAATGCTTATGTACTAAACGTTTAAATGCAGTGATGTTTGTTGAGAATTTCAATTACTGTCTCTTTGCAAGGAGCAATGTAGATATTCATGGGATTGGGTAGTAATCTCTTATTTCAATCTCTTATTTAAAATGTTACCTGGTTTCTTCAAAAACAAAAAAATCGAAATTTTGATTCTTGGTAATTCAACAAATTGACTTGTGAGTAGTCGGGTTGAGTGTGTTAGTTTCTCTTTTTGATTCAGCGTATTTGTGTCATCGTTATGATGAAAATGTAGTGTTGAATATATGAGACTACTTGCAGTTATTTTTACAAATTCTTGACATTTTCATTCCTGCTTATGTATAGTTCGAAGTGAAATTCCAATTTCCTCTTCATATATATTGTGTGCTTGTAAAAATTTTTCATATGTATATAAAACTTTTCCACGCAATTCCATACCAACTACAACAAATATTGATTAAACAGGTGAAAATTTAAATAATAAGAACCAGTGAAAACTTGAGCAACACAAAGCACGTAACTGATTATAATCTTGTAAAATTCATCTTTTTCGAGCTGATAGAAGGGATGCTATCTGAAGTAAGTGAAACATTACTGGGTATTGTGAGTTTTTTGGTGAATTTTACGATGAGAAGTGAAACGCTCGAGGATACAATCCAAGTAAAATAACAGAAGAATCATATTGCTGCAAACCTGACTATTTTAGCTTTTCTGATAGAGAAGGCCAGGAATTTTGTTACCATTTAGCACGTTAAACTAAATCTGAAGTAAGATTCCACCAAAGTATAACATTAATCTTAGGGAATAAATTCTAACAACAAATGTTAGAATGCAATATGGAGATTTTCACATGTAGTAGTATTTCAAGTGTCACAACGAATGTATCTTTACTTCCATGTCAATACCTGATTCCTCAAGGGATTAAATGAAAGAAAACAGTATGAAAAACTACTCTACTATCTATTTTTCCACTTCCTCGATCACATTTCCATTGGTTATACCTTTTGATATCTCTTAAAATATGCTTCAGACTACTATAAATCACTATAAACCAACGCATTTTTCGCAGAATATCATGAGATTTTAAATCATTTTAGACACGATTAATTAGCATATTATATATGTATAGATATAGGTTATATTACCCAAGTTCGAGTTTGAGGTAATTGTAGACGAAAGATTTGCTTGATCTTGCATGAAGCACATTTTCTCGTAATTTCTGTTTCTATTCTTCTCCATGGTGTTCAAAACAGAAAGATTTAGCGCTTGTCAGTGCGGAACGTGAAGTCAATTGGCAGATATTTTTTTGGTTTAATGTTATTTATCACTTATTATTCAGAAAATAATCACAAATTTTTCGCTATTTTACCAAATCGTTCAACTTACTGATATATTTTAGTATGGATTGAATCAAGAAAGTAGTGCAGTAGAAATAACGTCCGTTTATGATTTACTGCAAACATCTGGAGGGCAAGTCTTAGTAACAGCCTTAGCTGCTTTATTGCTGATAACTTTACTTAGCATGACCTGCCTACTCTTCCTGATCAAAAAGCAACGGAATTCCATGCTGATGCTACAGAAGGAGTCAAAGTTGCGACAACCCTGCTTGGTGTTGAGAAACTCAAATTCACATTCGGATCATGTTGTAAAACTTGACAGAAGATTTCATGAAAGGTTAGTAAATCATCTTTTTTGAGATCAGTCATATGTGAGATATTTTT